CCCCAAAACCCCAAAACCCCAAAACCCCGTTCTATAATTTAGCCATTGGTTTATTAAAATCCTTCTAAACCTCCCTCATAAAAATGGAATCCCAAAATACTGTTTGTCAGTCAGCCAACTGAAAGGCCCCTAGGCAGGAATACTGATTCGACCATCAGAAGATACTTTGCCATAATTGTAGGAACACATTTCATTTCCAATGAAACACCCAGAGAATCTCTAAACCTGATGAAATGATCAGAAGCACTGAGATGCTCGAAAGATTTACTCAGATCCTTAACGAAGAAGCCAAAAATTATGGATTGTTAGAGCAAGTTAAAGGACTGGAGGGTACCTTAAGTTGTATCGATAACACTATTAGTAAATTAAAGAGTGAAGCTGCATCTGCTCTGGCAAATGATCATTTCCTCAAATATGACCAACTAAAATTGCAAGCTAGAGATCTTAAGTCAGACATTCTGAACTCTAAATTTGGGAATTCTGGAAACGGTGTAAACCAGATCTTTGAGTTGTTGTTTTATTCTCAATTGTTTAAATGTTCAAAGCCAGAAGAAAAGAAGAATCTAGAAGGAATGCAGATAAACAAAGATACTGGAACTGACAAGCCAAAGGGGACACAAATTGATACATACTCTCCTGTTACAGACACACTTGGAAACAATGAAAATGTAGCAATAAATTCTGACAGCAATGAGGGTTCTGAAAATGAAGTAAAGAGAGATAAGCAAGCCTCTAAAAATTCTAAAGAAGAAATGCACCAACTTAGCGTTGAACTCAAGGTTTTAAAAGATGCCAAAAAGGAAGATACATTTTCTAAACAAGAACACTTAAATGATCTTGAAGGAATGAAGAAGCAAATAGATCACTTAGAAAACGAGAATTTAAAACTGAATGATTATTTGAAAAAAGAGGCAAAAGAAATTTCATTGGAGCCAAGGGTACTTATTATGGAAGGCAAACTTCCTAAATATCAAGCTTTGTACATTCATTACTTTAAGGTATTTAACAAATTTGATCCTGATACTTTTCTCTATTTAAACATGAATCGTTCCAGCAATAGAGATTTTCTATTTGCTTTAGCAAGAGAATGAGTCCAGCTACCTGAGTTAAAAGAAATATCTATTGATAATATAAAGAGAGAACATTTAGAGGATCTTAACAAATTTTTATGAAAATCAATTTCAGGAAGATTATGTGTCCTAAAACTCACAAATTATAAAAATGATGAGATTTGCTATCCTCAAATAAAAGAAGGATTAGTCAAGATATTACCAAGAGTTTCAAATGAGATTTTATTTGTAGGAATGAATACTAATGCAAGCGAAAGCCTGCAAATAATAAGTCATTCTGCTCAAGCAAGAAGCTTAGAATTCAATTGTTGAACATTCTTGAAAAATAATGATCCACTTATACAACAAGAGGTTTGACACAGTGTTCAAAATTTGCTATTTTTATGTTTCAGGAATTGCAAAATAAAGTATCCTATAAGAGGTAAAACAGATTACTTCTTTGGAGAAATTGTGACAAAGTTTATTAAAAATTCACAAATGAGGTGCACTATAGAACTGTTAGATATTCATGATGATTATTTCCTTCTAGATGATTATTAATAAGAATTCCTAAAGTTTATACTGGAAGATGTAGTATTGGATGGTAAATCAACCAAGATTCCTATTAAACTTAATTTTATATAATATGTGAAAAATAATTAAGCTTTTAAGTTACAATTTTCAATATTTATTTTATATCATGGGGTTTTGGGGTTTTGGGGTTTTGGGGTTTTGGGG